CAAACATTACCATCTCTGCTGGTTTCAAACCAGGTTCTCAGCACAACTCCACAAAGCAAGGGCACCTGAGGTTAACTAAAGGAAATTTTGCTGGTTTTGGGGACAAAGATCTGTTCTGACTCATCCCTCATGAGCTGATGGCAATAACCTGCCTGGGCAAGGAGTATTGGACATTTGAGAAATTCCAAGAGCTGTAGGGTAGTGCCATGTTTCTCCTCAGCAATGTGATAYCCTACAAATTCACCACACTGGGATTTGCAGCCCTTCCCTTCCCCCAGTGCCACTGGGGCAGGAATACCTTGGTGGCATTTCAGTGACATTCAGCTCCTATCAATAATTCAGCTGCTCTAATTGCAGATCTCAAACACACCACGTGCACAAGGTGTCAGCAAAGTCAGCCTTTTCCTTGATTAACACTTTTAATTGGCTGCTGTGCTGGGATTTTGTTTCCATGTTAGCTGAGAAGGTCAGAAAGGGAGCTCAAAGGGAGCAGAAAAATGACACAGAATCAGCGCTGGTGYTCCAGCAGAAGGCAGGAAATTAAAAGCTGAATCCTCTATCCTTAATTCACCTGCCTGGGCTCTGTGTGGCCATTCCTGCAGAACCCAACTGACCAGTGCTTTGCTCCAGGAAGGGCTGGGATGGGGAAAGCTGCCTGCAGAGCCAACAGTGACAGACCTGCTCACTGCAAACCAGGGAAGAATGGGGGGTGCAGTGCCTGCCCTTGGCAGAACTGTCCCATTTCCACGTGCAAAGTGCTCTCAGGGGGAAGAGAAAATCTATCAAAGATGATTTGTGATGCCAGTTGTTTATATTCCATGGGAGAAAGATGTGATGGCATCACAGCTGTGCTGATTCTGCAAAGGAACAGTGAATTTCCTCTCTTGATTGYATTTGATTCACTTGTGAATCCCTCAAATGCGGCACTTGGTCACCTCAGCTCTTCCCAAGAAGGTGCAGTCCCAGGAATTCAGCCCTGCCCAGGATAGCTGGGGTTGTGAACACTGTACACAGTCCAGCAGAAATGTGGAAATCCCTTGAGGAAGGACACACACGTGGATACACACGTGTTCCAGGCACCRTGGGGGAAAGGGAAAATCCCTCATTAAATCTGCAGGAAGTTGTGGCACCCCACTGGTCCCCAGTGCAGGGCATGTGGGAATTTGGGCACAAGCCTCATGAAATAAGAGCCCTGCAAAATGGTTCTCTCCAGCTGCAGAAGCAGCTGAGCATCCCCAGGCTCCCAAAAAGCACATCCAGCTTGAGCCATGTACGTGTGCTGGAGCGAGGAGGGACATCAGCCTTTGAGGTTTGTCTGCCACAAAGCAAAAACAAACTGCAAGTKATTAATGGCCTTGTTTGCACTTTTTTTTTGGAAAAGCTTTTCCAGTTCCTTCCTCTGTTCTAAAACAGTGACTCTGCCAGCACCCTCTGCTTGTGTCCCAAAGGGAAAAATGTATTYAATATGTATTTAATTTGGGATTCCTGGAGCTCCCAAATCAACAGCAAGGAGCACAGAGGATGAAGCCACTGATGATTMCAGGAGTGTAGAAGCCATCCCTGTGACCTCACAGCCTAACAGACAGATGGAGTGGTTTCCACAAAGCCCTGCCTGTYCCCCTGACAGGAGAGGGGCTCTCCCAGCTCCTCCAGGCAGCWGCCTGAAGCCGAGTTCTGCTCCAAGCTCTTGTTCCTCTGATCCTGCCCTTGGGGAGGTGGCACTGCTCACTGGGAACAAATGAAACAAAGGAGCAATGAGACACTGGCAACCTTTTTTTGCCTTTCCAWCTCCTCAGGGCTCTTAATTAATCTGCATTTTGTAACCACAGTTAATTCTTTGCTGCAAGTCTTGGGAATACAGTGAGAAAAAACACAATTTAATGTGTTTGGAGAAAAAAAGCCTGACTCACACAAGTGCCAAATCAGTTGGATTTGACAAAATTTAGACTTCCCATCTGCTCATGGTGTTTATGTACCTGACTGCCTTTTGGTCCCTGTTCTGAGAGCTGGGGGTGGGGATCCAGGTGGGGGTCGGTCTCTTCTCCCAGGTGACAAGTGACAGGATGAGAGGAAATGGCCTCAATCTGTGCCATTTATATTGGATATTAGGGAAAATTTCTCCATGGAAAGGGCTGTTCAGCCCTGGCACARGGCCAAGGATGGAGTTCTTATCCCTGCAGGGATTTAAAGCCGTGTGCATGTGGCACTTGGGGACATGGGTCAGTGGTGGCCTTGGCCATGCTGGGGGAATGACTGGACTCAGTGGTCCCTTGAGAGCTTTTCCCACCTCTCCAATTCCATGATTCCATGATCYAGTCCTGCTCTCCACCCAGCCACACATTCCCCCTGCCTCTGAACCTGCAAGTTCATCCCTGATTTCTGCTGCTGTGAAACTGCCCAGAAAAACTAAAAACACCCATTCTTGACTTGTTCCTGACTCCCGAGCCTCCCTGAAGGTGCTCCTTGAGCAGTTCTGCAATATTCAAATGTTAATTCAGACAAACTCTCCTGGGAACAAACAGCAATCAATCAAGATAATCCAGTGCAGCTCCATGACTTCCTTGGTCTCTAACAGGTGCTGTCAGATAAATCCATGGAATTAATCAGCCYCATTGTAACCATGAGGAAGGATTTTATAACTGCATTTGCTGAGTGGGAGGACATTTTTCTTTCTGCTTTTTTTACTGACAATCAGATAAAAAACACACTAATCAAGAGAGACATGAGCTGGAGGCCTCGGAGGTGAGTTCCTGTCTATACTGAAGGCTCCTAATCCTCCACTCATTTGAGAATTCTGGTGCTACCACAGCCAAGACAACCAAGCTGTCTGGATCCTGTCCAGTTTTCATTATGGATGGACTGGGAGATGCCAAAAATTCTGATGCTGCCGAGCACCTTTTCATGCCGAGCACCTTTGCATCAGCTACACTTTATTCTTCTATCACAGCTTGTCCTTGTCCTGGCAGGGACATTCACAGGGACTCACAGGGACTTCCAACAAGGGCATCTGCAGGGATGGAGCTGCTCCCCATAAAGAAAATTCCTGTATTCCTGCATATCTCTAAATATCAATATGTATTATCCTGTTGGGCTGCTACAGTGTACTTGCAGCAAAATCCATCTTTGCTTTCTTGCCACCTTAAAAAATATTTACTCTGGATATTTCCTTCCCCATTCTTGCTGCTTTTATTTCTAAAATATTCACCAGAATGCACTGTATTTCTTTCCGTGGTCTGGAAAATGGATCAAGGCAATGACACTTACTTCATATCCATTTTTCCTCCCCAAAGCTTTGCAGTGAGATGAAGGAAGTGTCAGCTCCTTCTGAAGGAGAGCAGCRCTGGGACTGACTGCTGGCACCAGGCAGCCAGGATGCAGACACACAGCTCTGGGAGATGAGCAGGGAGCAGCTCTGCAGACATTATTCATTCAGCTGAAATGTAAATCCTRCTCCTCTGTGGGGAATGGAGAAGCTGCTGTGATCTAGGCAGGATGAAATGTGCAGGGCTCCAGTGGGGTTCATGCTTCAGGAAGCAGAGGGTCAATAGAAGAAGGGTCTCTGAAGAGAACTCAGAGAGGGGTGACATGGACTGACTGACAGGAGATGTCACCCCAGTGCCACCACTTGGCATCTTGGGGCATTTTCATGCCAGCAACAGATGTCAGAGAGCAAATGAGTACTGGCAGCTCTGGGGACGGTGAGAAAATGGATGTGGGAGTGTGTGGAAATACTGACAAGCCAGAGAGATGCAAAGATGCATGGACCATGTTTAAAAGCCTCCACCAAACCCCTTCCTCCTGGGAAGCCCCTGTTTTGTCCCTCCAAGTGTCTGTTCTCTCTGCTCAGCACCAAGCCCTGTGTGTGCTGCCAAGGGCTGTGCAGAGCTCAGTTCTCATGAATGAAATGAGCTGAGAACAGTTGGGTATTTATAGGCTCAGCAAGCTGGTGTTCCAAAAAATCTGAAAGCTCTTCAAAGTGCCTTTGGCTGCAGAGCTACACTGACACTCTCTGACAGCTTGTGGGGATATTTGGGAAGAGGAGTCACAGCATGAACACTGACTATGGAGGTATCCTAAGCTTTTGCTGAGCACCTTCCAGTTTGCAGAGAGTTAATGATGAATTAAAACATTAAGATATGGAAAAAAACACCAYGGCATGTCCAAGATTTCCATGGATATGGATATACAAGATAAGTTTGTATGAAAGAGTTCAATTCTTCTGTGCAAGAGACAGCACATGGTGATCAGTTTAAGATAATTGAGTTGAATATTGCTTAGATATATTGCCAGATGTTCTAACAGTGACTTATCACTAATGACACCAGACAGCTTTGAGGAAGCGAAATGTTTCCCAGATATACCAGTGAATCTCTCCCTGTTTCCTGGAGACACACACTCAGAAAAGGCAGCAGCACCTGGCAAACCAACCGTTGCTATCGCGGAGCTTCTGTAATTCCAAACCAGTTCCGGCTCCTGCAGCCCTGGGGACCAAGGTACAAGGGCCAGGAAGCTGCCCCTGGGTGAACCTGAGCAGTGTGGAAGGCTCACCCAAGATAAGATTGTGGGCTGCACCTGCCGTGCAGGCGCGTGTTTGAGATCCACGTTTCCCAGCTGCTGACACCACCTCCCCCACATCCTCACAGGGGTTGGGACCAGGCTTTTTCCAACCYAAACYSTTCCATGATTCTGYGACAGCAAGGCCCTTCTTAGAGGAGTAATAAMAGTTTCTATCTCCAGTACGAGATATGTCAGAGCCAGAAAAATCCAAACATATCCAACAAGAGGGGTAAATCTTTATCGTTTTGCTCAATGCTGAGCACTAGCTGGGCCAACAAAATTCCAGGGGAAGTGTAGGTAAGAGCTCCCTCAAAGACAGAAAAGAGGGCCAGTGGACCTGGAGGGGCTCTCTTCAGTCCCCAGCTTCTCCTACATAGTGAGTGTAGGGTTACAGTGCCGCAAAAAAAGGATGACGAAGAGAAATTGAGAGTATCATTACTTACCACAGAGGAAAGGTCCATGTTCACCATCCTCCTGTCATCCAGGTCGACTGGCTGGAGGCCTGCGACGTTGAGCTGGACAGAAGAAGTTCTGTAGACAAAGCTCAGCAGCCAGTCCCCCCTGCAAACAGAGAAGAGTGGGAAAAARTCCTGCTGCCATATCAACGTAATGTGAAATCAAAGAATTCCAGAACAGTTTGGGTGGGAAGGGGTCTTAAAGCTCATCCAGTTCCACCCTGTGCCATGGGCAGGAACACCTTCCACTAGGCCAGGCTGCTCCAAGCYCYGTYCAGCCTGGCCTGGGACACTTCCAGTGTGTAACTACTCAGACCACGAGGAGAGTTGAAGGGCTGGGGAGCACAGTGATGTCTGGACCAAGGCCGGCTGCAGCTCTGTGTGATCTAGGAATGACACCAGGAATCACTTGCTGGATTCAGGGCAGGCTTCTGGGACACAGGGGTGCAAGTCTGTACTGAATCCTGATCTATGGACRTAGTCTTTACCTGCAGTGAGATTAAAAATCTGCCCCTTCTGTTTATTTCTGTGTTTGCTTAGGGATTGCACATTGATATTTCAATATCTAATCTTTTTCATGTCCAGATAGGTTCTCCAGCCCATAAAGCTGTAAAGGTGATGAGACTTACAACACTGATGTTGTGCCATAAATATTGACGGTGACTGGCAATGCTCCYGTTTTATAGGTACAGCAGAAATACATGGGTTCCAGTGACAGARCTAGGAAGAGTTTGTTCCCACTCTAGAGCAGTGCCATAAGTCACTGTGGCAGTTCCAGGGGAGACCATGGCATGAGGAGGGAAGGAAATGCAAAAGTCTTCTGTGCTGAGCAACAGCATAAAATGCAGGCACCGAAATACAACTGTACCCTCTAAGTGGAATATGAGTGGGATTTGTGCTCTGTGATGGCAGCAGGTAAAATGCTCCTGCACAGGAGCCAGTTCCTGGCTACTCCCAAAAAATCCACACCAGGAGTTGTAAGTCTACAGAGCCCTGCAAAATCTTTACAACACATCCATGCTGCTCAGGTGGGGGATCTTTCAAAAGCTGAGCCAGTCCAACTGCTTTGGGTGAAGTTTCCCACTGGGAATTTGTAATCCTGCTGTTAAGTGGGAGGGGACAGCTCTGACAGCTGACAGGGCTCTCACTCATCCTGTCCCCTCATATTCCAAAGCCAAAGGAGAGCAAGGACTGAAGCTCAACAACTGGGCTCAGCAAATCTGATCTTACAGGAATTCTGTTCAGTGTAATTCATCTGACCTAAATAGAGTTACTCCTGAAGTGACAGAACGAGGCCACCCTCTGCACAAACGAGAGACCAGAGAAATCAGAATCAAGTGAGGCCTCACACAAAATGTTTGTATAACCCTTCTGTCATATCTCAATCCTCACAGAAATTCCATGTCTCTCAGTTTCCCCCTCTTGCTGCCCCTCATGTTACCTGAATAACCCCACCCCACCACACACACACCGTCTTTTATTCTGACCACACAGGCAGGCTTAGRAACTACAAGATCTTTTTGTGTTTGTGTGTGTGTTATAGGAAATGGATACACAGAGCTTTTTACAGTGAAATTGATTTTTGTAGAACACATGGAGGAACAGTATTTGCTGAGTAATATGCAATGATTTMTATCACTTATAGCTTCTTGGAAGAACTCTGAGCACTCCCAGGGAGGCAGCAACTGCTTTTCTTTATGCCACATGAAGAAACACTGCAAGCACTGTTTACATCTGGCATTCATGAAAATCCTGAGATCTAAAGAGGACAAAAGCAACCATTTCCAGCCTAGCTGAGAGGTAGGATTGGTAATTCGAATACCTTTAATTAATTTATTTAATTCTTCTTTAAAAGTTAAAACACCCAGTTAGAAGCACAGTCCCACAATGCTTCCCCACCTTCCACATGCATGTGGAAGACACGTGCATGTGTAGACATCCCTATGGATGTGTGCCTGGAAAACACCAGCAGCATTTTCACCTGTCCTTGACCTGAGGGCTCACAGCTTTACAAACTGTCTTAACTTGCAGGTTCTTTGTTAATCTWCTTGCCAGGTAATTTCTCAATTTATTTCCCCATGCTCTTAGTATTCCCTGCTTCATTCCTTGGTTTTAATTTCCCCTTATCTAATTGTGCTGGTAAGCAGTGTTCCTGGCACAATTATCTTCCAAGACACACTCATTAGGTTTGAGGCTGTCACTTGAATACTTAATGGTTTTCTGAGACTGCTTCAGCTGTTTTGGGCCTATAAACCTCCCTCTTTTCAGCCAGCAGCTCTTTTCTCACAACTCTGCACAACAGTTGTCTGCTTTTATTTCTAAAAATGTTTCTGAAATGTGGTTTTAAAAGGCTGGTATTTGTTTTGAAGGCAATCTTTGTATTTTTTCACATCCTTACTAAATATGCTACAGCTATTCCAGCTATTCTTCCTTTGTAAGTTAAATACCCTGTTCATGTGATCTATCGTGACCAGAAACCCACTCCAGATATACAAACCTTCAATTTGCTTGAACTCGTTCYCTTTTATTGTGATTTTCAAATCTTGTTCCCCATGGGCAGCCACAAGTGAACTATTACCTTAAAGCTTTGATAGATTTTAATTCCCATTCTTTAAATGAGTGAACTTAACTGCTGTATTTATAGTCCTTYACATAAAGCTGAGATTTAAATGGGTTTCAGAATATATCAAATTACACACACGAATACACTGAGCCAGGTTTAGGCTGTCAGTGGTAGAACACTGTCCYTCTATGAACAGGACCCACATTTGGAGCACCTCAGGCTTCCAGCATCCCAAAGAGCCAAGACCTGGGTCAAACAGTCTTCAAGTGCCTCCTGAAGCTGTCATTTCCTGTGGATCTGAGGGAGAGGCCTGGAGGGATGAGCCTCTGGCACTGTAGAATCCATGTCCTCACCAGCTGAACATTTACTCAAAAGGGATGAATACCCCAAAGCATTTCCAGGCTATGGGGGCTGGGAACTGAGCACACACTGACCTGCAGAACCCGTTTATGATCCTTCCTGACACCACTCTGGTGAGAGCTTTCCAATGCTTGGCTTCTCCTTCCACTGGAGCTCCCAGTAAGACAACGTCTTCAATGATTCCTTGTGAGTCTGTTAAGGTGARAGCAGAACAGCTCAGGTTAGAAGATGGAGCAGAAATATTCTTATATGAAGTGTGYTCTGATGTGCACTGCAGAAAAATCATCATTTCGGTGACTTCAATTTGAAAGACAGAAAAATGGAAAGGAGAATCATAAATACAACTTTGCATACATGTTAAATGTCCACRGTTCACCTGGAATCAGTAAAAGTGAAAAATCAAGATCCTCASACAGTGCAAAGGGCCAGGCTGGTGGCAGGAGGGAGAAGTGGCCTGGCCTCTGCCCAGAAAGATGCTGTTCAAGCAGCAAACCTCTGGAAAGGTTTGGAAACCTCTGRAAAGGTCTTTCTGCAGACTCACTGATGTGGGTTTGCACATAGCTGTGAAAGAGGTGAAAGGGTCTGTGATCCCACAGGGTGAGCAAATGTTGTCATACATGAAGCATGAGGAGCCCTTCCCACAGCTGATTCTATAAAAAACATGACCTGAACATGCAAGAGAAAATCCCCAATTCCTAATATTGATTTCAAAGTAGCAACAATGGAGGCATTTGCCAATCCACAGTGAAGATCRGACTGGTTTGATTTCCTTGTGCTGTAATCTGAATGCCCAGGACCTGATTTGCTGAACAGCAATGTTGACTTTTAAGCATAATAAATCTTCCTCACTTATCAGACAGCTGCAGCTGGGCAATTTCAGGAGAAATAAAAATGGAATGAGAAATATTGGGCAGCCCTGCTACTTTCCTAAATTCGTGAACAACATATCAGTATCTTCCATAAATCTTTGTTAAGAGAGATGAAGCATTTGATGCCACAGCAGTTAAATGGAAGACTCATGAGTGTAAAATTCCAAATCTATGCTCYGCACCTGTGGGAGACCAGGCTCCACAGACCTGAGCTAAACCAAACATTTGAGGGAGAGGTCTGGGCAGACTTTCCGAGTGTGAATCACTCAGCTTCCTTTCCCTGACAGCAGTAAAGGACTGGARCTGCCTGTAGTGCCTGCATCCTTCTCTGAGGTGTAAATCCCAGTGCCTGACAAATCCAAATGAGCTCTTCTGGAATTAYTTCTTATTGCAGAGCAAATTCTGCACCAATCAAAAAGTGCAAAGAGCAATTCAATTTTGTAAGTGTAATCATGAGCAATAAAGCCCTGTTCCCATAATGATGAGCAATCAAAAGGAAACCCAGAGCCTTGCTAATGCGAAGCTCATTCCAACCAAGGTTCTAAATTCCACGGCCACGGTGTGAGCCAACTGAATAAACAGACAGCTAATTCATCAGAAGCCTGGATATTTGGGCAAGGTGTTGGAAGCTTTTGTTTCTCCAGTCCCTTGTCCAGTTTATTTCTTGCTCAGAACAAAAAATATTTAGGCTTGGCTGAAAAATGCTGATTTTCTTTGAATGTTGACAGGAGAYCTGGGAACAGATCACTGGCCTGCAGAGCTGCTGAGGCGCAAGATAAATGAAATGCATTTCACAGTTTGTAAATCTTGTAGATGATGAGGAACAATAAGGTCTGCACAAGCAGTGGAACAAAATTAATTCATTAACCATTTAACCTCATAGAGAGTGGCTAATGAATAAGAAGTTTTATAAAGGATAATTTCCAATCAAGTCCAAGCAGGTGGGAACGGAGTGAGAATTACAGGCCAAAATTAAAAACCTGACTAAGATGATTTCTCCAGAAAAGGTGTGGAAGAAAGAAGCTGTCCCAGAGGCCATAACCAATCCTGGGAGCTGACTTTGCTGTACCCTTGGGATGCAACTTACTGGGAGAGGGGAAGTACCTCAGCACAACAGTCCTGACTGAAGGGAGAACAGAGCTGGGGTTCAGCTCTGGCTGTGTACAAATGTTCCAGGGCAGAGCTGCTGCCAGCTCCCAACCCCTGAGCACAGCAGGGATCACAGCCCAGGGGGACACGGGTCACACRAGCTGTGATTTGTACCAAGCACCCAGTGTGTGACACCTCTGTCCTGTCACACACTGGGTTTCACACACAGYTGGGTTTCAAGGTTCAGGCTCTGGTGGTGACAGCCATTATCAATTTGCATTAGTTTGCTAATTGCTAATTATTTACTAAAATGCATGGGAATCACGATGAGGAAATCAGAGCAATGATCTTCCCACGCAGGAACGTGTCTCTGGTGGCTCATTTGCTCCAGCTTCTGCCATAATGTCATTTTCTGGAAACCTGCTGAGCTCTGGCTCCCAGAGTCCTYCGTGATGAAGTATCCCACAGGTTATTCCATTGCTTTGCAGAGAAGCATTTGAACAGTCTGAGTCCCTGCCGTGGTGTTTCACTGGCCAATCCATCATCAGCTCTTTGTCCTCAGAAATGCCAYTGCCATCTGGATAGCCAGCCCTGCATGACAAGGCCGTGTGTTCCTTTCGTGTGAGACATCCAAGCCCAAACCCAAATCAGTCTCAGCTGTCCCAGGTCCCAGYTCCATTCCTTCTGTGGCTTGCTCTGGAATGTGCCTGTGAAGAACGCCTTGGCAATCTGTGCTGAACATGCTGCTTTTCATCTCACAAACAGCTCAGCTTTCAGAATTCAATTAAGGAACTGAAAAATCAGAGTATGGTGGGAGCTGCTCTGATACATCACCACGATACTTGGATTTCTTTGGAGTGGCAGCCAACCTTCCAGACCCCAAAGGATTTCCTCCCTAAGCTATGGGCTCGTGTTATTCCAGAGCCTGCAGACTGAAATAAAAACCTGCAAATACCTCAGMCCCTGGCATTCTCAGGACACTAAAATTGTAGATCTAGGGCCAGATTAGGATCTGGGCACTGGCTCCAGTGTAACTCTGTCAGGATCATTCTGGATTTGATTACATTTATTTTTAGGACAGAATTCCTGTATTTGAGGACTTCCATCTTAAGCCACAGCTGAAGTTCTGGCATGCAGCTGTCAAWGCTGACCTTCTCCATCCTCATTTGACACTGTTCCCACCTCCTTGGACTTTATTGGACATTGTCCTTTATAAAATTGCTTATTTATGGTTAATTGTGAAGCCAAATAGTTAATGAGTGAAATTGCTACGTGGGGGGAAGGAAGGTTGCACATACTCACTGCTGACTCAACTCCAAGATACAATTTCCATCAAGTGATCATAATGATTTGACTCTTTTTTTTWAATTAAAAATAGACTCTATTAATAAACAGAACCACAGTGGGCAATAAATTGACAGATGGTTTATACTTGACTTTGGGGAAAAATTACCATGAAAATAGCAGATGACAGTGGCATTTCAGTGACTTAAATGGAAGGCAGGACTCAGGGAATCAGATACAAGAGCTGCAGAGAGCTCCCAAGAAAGGCAAAGCATCCTCTGCCAGGATCAGGCAGTGCGTGGGCAGCTCCAGACTGATCACAAATGTCACATTGTTGTTTACAGACCAAAGTGACCCACTGGAGCCCCTGGAGTGAGACAGCGGATTTAATCTGCTGGACTGGRGGGAATGACAGCAGATTTTGGCATTTAAACCTCTTTTTTTTTGAGATTTTGTCCTATACTTAAAGAGCCAAGCTCTGTTCTTCCTCTTGGAAGAAAAACTTCTCTACCAGGAGTGAGGATGATAAAAGAAAATAAGGTTAGGAGGTGAATGATACCTTTTTCTTGAGCCATTTCCTGCAGGCAGAAGTAAATGACTCTGGCACCCAGGCTGAAGCCAATCAGTGTGACAGGTCTGTGGCCCTGAGAAAGAAGAAAAGGGCAAAGTGCCATCAAATGCTGTTTTCTCTGGGAAGAGAGACTGGGCTTGGGATCCCCAAGAGCCTGGGACACAGAGCACCTGCTTGTGCATCACCTTTGAAACACTGGGGCAATTTGGTTGGTTTCAAAGGCATCAGGTCTCCTCAAAGTTATGCCCAGTTCAAGATGGAGAATTCTACATATCCAATTATTTTGYATGTTTTGATCTTCAGAAAATCAACTGAAAAAAAATCTAATGATCAGAAGTTACAACAGAGAGGATGTTTCAAACAGAACCAAAGCAGATGCTCTCATTGGTTTGAAATTTCCAAATGAAAACCTTATTCAAGGAACAAAATTTTCCTAGAAATGTTTCAATTAACAGAAAAAGAAGAAGCTGTAATACAAAAATAGTGACCAATTCCAGATTTTAAGYTGAGTGGCAGCAGCACCATGCAAGGCTTATAAAAAACGATGTGGCTTTTAAAGCTTTAAGCTTTTATTTTGAATAGCCTAATAAGATTTTCTGCAAGATCAAAGGGAGCCTAATCCAAACATCAATGAAAAATGTTCTTTGTAATATCCAGGGAGCAGGTGTGTGATGGACACCCCAGACATCATATTAACTAGTTTTAGACTCTCCAGCATACTGGAATGTGTGTTTTCACAACAGCAAATGCTTAACAGGCAGGAACAAATGCCCCCAAGCAAAACAAAGGGCTTGTAAAAAATAAAGTTTATTGGGTTTTCTAGGATTGTGTTTTTATGAGAAATTAAGTTTGTTCCTCCTTTGCTGTTCCACATTGCTGGGATATACAACTCAGGGACCACAGCTGCCCTCAGGCTCCTCTACAATCAGCAGTGACTGGTATGAGACAAACACGTGGCCAGCAAAAGCCAGCACTGGCACAGCAAATGCTGAGAGGCTCTTGGACAGCAGAAATGTCGTTTTTCAAGCTTTTTCAGAGAGACTYCTGTCACTTCTATCAGGTACCAGCCCATTCCTCTTCTCTGTAGGCAAAACCATGGCGCACTGGCATTGGCTGCCACACTTTTCTCTTAGGTTGTTTTGCTGGTGTCTCTTAATGATCAATAAATATTTTCAACACTCCATTTTCTTCTTTCCTTTCCACCCATCCACACTTCCTGCTCTCTAAATAGGTGAGTGGGCCTGGCTGTGCTCTGACATTGTTATGCCACTGGTCATTTACGACCTGGATCTCTTCTTCCTCATTTAGAAAAGTTTTAGGTTAAAGAGAATCTCAGCAGGATTTCTCTGATCCCCTTGGAACATCCTCCTTTTCCCCAGTGAGCCAGAGATCTGCTGGTCACCCTCTCTTTAAGGTTTTATTAGTTTTTGTCTCCCTAGAAAGAAACCATTTAATTTAGCATGACCAGACAACTTCATCTCCCTGGGCCAATTCCCTTCCAGCTGTTATTCCTGGGAAATTCTGCCCCRTTACCTGCTGTCGGCTGAGCAGGATGTGTGCAAGGTGCTTGCCTACTTCAGCAGAGCGATGCAGACACACTCCCCAAGGGTTATCAATGACACTGGCAACGGTCAGGAGTGACGCTGGCCAAGACAAGGCTGTCACAATCCCTGAAACACACAGAGGTTTCTTAGAAAACACCCCAATCAAGACAGCTGGCTGAAGTAAAAAGCTAAGCCTGTGAGCTTTTGTCATTTCCAGCTCTTCTTTCCCAAGAGCTGTGCTGAGAAATGCTTTGCTGGCCTAAAGATAAGAAAGAATCTGATGTTCTGGCACAGGGGGCTGAGYGTAACCTGAGTGTTGGGAGGTTTCTGGACAGCAGTAAATGGTGTAATAACATGGAGAAATGAGCAGTCACACGTGAAGGAAGGTGTTTCCAGCTGTAACTTTAGCAGAATAATGCAATGGCACAGTGGCTCAGCAGTCCAGGAAAGCACAGCTAAATTACAGGTGTGGTACAGGAGGTTCTCAGGTCAATTCTGTTGGGCACTGCCTCCTCCAAAACATTCCTCTTTAGGAAAACTCCTTTAATAGTGAAACTGCACAAGAGCCACTTGAGCAGATCTGATACAATTCAGGTTCTTACCTGACAAGACGGTGAATTTTAGGGCTTCTTGAGCCATCATGTTCACAAAACCRTTCAGCAGGGAATCCAAGGCATTGCCAAGCTCCATCAAGTACTTGGATTCCCAGGCCAGGCAGTACTGCTCACTGGAGTGCAGCATGCTGCTCCACGGGGCTGTGAAACTCCCTGGGAAAGGTGCAAAGATGGAATTCATGTTTGGAGAGAACACCTGGAAAGAGGAGCCCAACAGAGGGCGGAACAGAACCTGCAGGACACTGGAATATTCTAACAATGCTATTAATGACAGATCAACACTGAATGCTATTAATGACAGATCAACACTGAAGGGCAGAGCAGAATTGTCATCTTAATTAATTAAAAGCCTTCCCACACTGTTCCCTCCCCAAACAATACAGGGGAGGACAAGGCAGCTGCTGATCAAAGTGACACAAGATCACCACAAYAGACTGTCATATTTGGGGACACATGGATTGGCAGCTACTGGCAGCTCCAAAACCATAAGGTGGCAAATTCCATAAAATTCCTGTCCTCAGTCCCTCTGTTTGAAGCAGTGTGTACATAGACAGACACTGTTGTAAGGAGGAACATGGATGACAAACCCTAGTTTTGCTCTTTAAAACATTCCAGCAGATTGCTTGTTATGGAAGAAGAATGTGTGTCATTGGTAACTCCCTTTTAAGGACAAACAGACACCAGGTTCCTGGAGGCCACACTTGCCTCTCTAACCATGCCTGGGAACCCTCCAGCCMTGAGGATCTGGACCTCTGGCAAACAGACAAAGAGAGAAGCCAAAGCACAGCACTGCAAAGTGAAAAGAACCTCCCTGTGACAGCAAACTGCAGCCTGGCAAGTGACAGGGCAGAGACATCCTTCTGCATTAATGATATCCTGAGTTAATAATGGTGCTTCTCAATAAACTGGCAGCTGTTCTGTGAGATTGCTGAGCACCTCAGCAGACAGGTGACATATTTTATATGACAAGCTACATTGGAAAATAAAGCACTACAGACCTTTAAAGGCTTCCCTGTAAGTCACCTCCAGAGGGCTGTGCTTAACAGGATTTACTTGACAGAATTTTCTTGCCAATAAACCTCATTAGCTGGCAGATACAGAGAGWGCAAAAATGCACTATTTTCTGTTAATTCCTGGAGGACCAACATAAGGTCTCAGAGACACTTCATACTAGTACTGGCAATCATCTCCCAAACAGACCTTTTCTAGCAAAACCATGCAACAGYTCCAAACAGGAACAACCCTGCTATGGCTGCTCCCAATCGTGCTATCACCACCAACTTTATGCCCTCTTTTTTTCCCTCTGTTTGCCTGGGATTACAGATTGGGTTGCAAAGACTTATATTGAGAATGGATGTGGTTTAGTCAGCAGGCCATGGAAATGTGGGGCAAACTTGGTGCTTTGTGAGTACAGACACAGGCTGCAGTGGGACACAGTCAYGGCTCTCTGAGCTCCTCTCAGCTTCCTCATCATATTCTTACCATATTTGCCAGTGCACAGCCAGCCAGTGATTGCTATGGTGATGTGGAGCTGCTTCCCTTCAGTAAGTGGGAGGAATTCAAACTCTTCTATGGCTCCCACACGTTTCTTCATCTTGTATCCTACACACAGCCAGGCAGAAACACACAGCTCAGAGATGGCACAGAAAGGACACTCTGCTGACAGTAGGAGTTCATTAAGAAGTTAATTGGGTAATCTGGAGAGAGGGTTTTTTCCTTTCCAAAACCCTCAGTCAGTCCATAMACTTATAGCTTGGTAAGGAGCCAACATGATCCTTCTGAGCTTGTGTGCTCTGAGGGAATCCAGTAGAAGGGTTTCTTTGCTGTAACAACTGCTGTTCTCCATGGCAGCATCTTTCTAACCCAAAGCAGCAAGCTTTCATTACTTTCATTAACCACACACCAAATATTCTTTCCCTGTAGCTCACCAGGGGCTACACAGTACCTTAAATCAGCACTGACATAAAAATCTGAGAGATTACACCTCAAATCGCTTCCCTCACTCTGCAGAGTGGAGTGGAGTGGAGTGGAGTCATTAACTGGGCATTTGAAGGTGGGATCCTGTGCCTCAGTGGCTGAGAATTGTGCTCACTCTCTTACCAGTAAGACCAGCTCCTGCTGCTCCAAAAAGKGATGCCATGACAGCAATCCCTGCAGTGGATCCTAAAGCAGCTGCTCCAGCACTCCCAATGATCGTGGCAGCTCCCGCAGCAACCAGAGGGGCAGCCAGGCCTCCTGTCAGACCTGAGAATGCAATAAAGGTTAAAACCAAACTGGGTTACAACCCCCAGGCAGGCATTTCCCTGTGCTGGGGGGGTTGCTGCTACTGCTGCTGGAACAGCTTTTTGCATGTACCATAAAGGGGCTTCCTGAGACCCTCCCCAGGCCCTAAATCTCTGTTCAAATTCTTTGACTGACTTCAGTAAAAATCAAGAATCTTTTCAAAGTCAAAGGACAACTGTGTGATGATCTRGGGTGAGCTGTGCTTTGTTTGCTCAGGAAACACTGATCTAATCTCACACTTTTGATTTCAGAGTTGCAGATTTGACGCTCTTRTAAGATGAGAGCAAAGAAGGAGAACACATTTTTAAGGGTGACAATTCAATTTAATGCTTCCCCCTGCTAATTAAGCTACACTGGAGTAACTTTTCCAGCTAATTCTTCCATGTTTATTTTTGTAAGGCTGAAAATACTTTTCTTGGATTCAGACCCCTCCCTGCCCCAAAATGCTGTGTCCCCAAAATGCCAAGGGCAGCCTCACCAATCACTGTTCCACCCCCAACAGTTGCCAGGCCAATCAGGAGGTATCTCTTCAGCTTTTTCCTTCTTTCCTTCTTTTTTCTTGAGACTTCTGCAGTTCTGTGGGGGGATTAGAAGTAAAAAACTAATGGAAAAGTGTGATGGATAACAATGCTGTATCAGAATCTGCTTTCATTCTCCTCAGTGTAATTTCCCTCCCAGGAACAGTAAAAAAGAACATGCAGGTGTGGACTATGACAGCACACTGAGATTTATGAGCATGGATTTAGAGATTTAAATGGAATGGATTAAATGGACCACAGATTTAAACTGAAACCRTTTAATTGCTGACAAAAGCCAACAGATATTACTTACTCAGAAAACCTTTCCTAATAGGGCTGAAGCTTGTAAAAAAAAACAAAAAAGGAAACAAAAAGTCAAAAGCATTTCATTAACTATATGCTGCCTATGTGTCCAAAAACACCACAAGAAAGCTAAGAAGAAACAGGGAAAAGTGTCTGAAATAAAAGGGAATAGAGGTAATTTGTGCTAACAGAGATGCAATTAAACCATTTTCCAACAGCAGTGTTTACTTTGAGCTGCTAATTGCACATCACAATACAATAATATAATCAGAATTAAACACAGTCATCAGTTCATTTGCCTGTGTGCATTTAAGCTGTATTTTAACAAGCTTATCAGAAAGTGGTATATAAACSTAAAAGGATCAAATACCACTTATTAGCCACTACTTTTGACTTCTCTCAATGTCTTTGCTTTCTCTCCTACAAGAAGTGCTTCAATTTCAGAGGAAAGTGGGAGAAACAGAGGATACTGGAATAAGCTATTTCCAGAGAAAGGTTCCTTCTGGCCTGTTTACTCAGCAGCTAATCCAGGCCTTGTAACGTGACAATTTATCTTGCTTCCAAACTTGGATATTTTCCCTGTTGATCCTAGCCTAATTTCAGRTTTTCATTATCCATATAATTGCCTAATCCTTCCTGGAACCCCCTAAGCACACTGTAATTTTGATTAAGACAATTTTACACGAGTCCCAAACAATATGCAGCTTTGTGAGGCACAGCAGGAGAATGSAGCTCAGTGGGTGAAATCCCTGAGTCACTGCACTCACTGGCAGAACTCCCACRGACCTGCACGTCACGGAGGCTTCGTCTCCACAGAGACCCTCCAAAAAACTATTGTTCATTACCTTATGCAGCTGCAAAYGTGGTGTCTGCAGGAACACCACCTCTCCAGTTCTGTACAATTACAGCTGCTTTCCACAGCCCTATGGACAAAGCAGTGTTTGCCCATCAGAGAATCACTAAGGTTGGGAAAGATCTCCAGGACCATCRAGTCCAGCCTGTGCCCAATCCYCACCTTGTCCCCAGCCCAGAGCACTGAGTGCCACCTCCAGGYCTTCCTTGGACACCTCCARGGATAAGGGACTCCACCACCAYCCTGGGCCRCCCATTCTAATGCTTGACAACTCTGTCCATTAAGAAATTCCTTCTGATTTAACCTGAACCTCTTCTSGTGCAGCTTGAGGCCATTTCCTCTCATCCTYTCAAAATGCTTCACTTTGTAGCTTAGTCACCAATCTGAATGCCTTGCTTTGGATAAACTTGCTCCTGGAGCTCTTCACACAAGTGCTGCAGTCAGGCTGATCATAYCTAAGCTGGCAATACCCAGCAGTTTCTGTTCTACATGAGGTTCAGCAGCTTTTACAGTCACTGTGCTTCTTCTCGAGCTGACAATAATGACAAGAGAGCTGCAACGTGTCTAACCTGGAGTCAGCTGGAATAATGAGCAGTTTGAGATATGTGGGGACAAAGACAGTGGCAGCTAAATTCTGCCTGACAGTGCAGTAAATAAAAGGAGAAGTTTTGCCTGTCACTGCCTCCCTTCTGGAGCTGCCAGCAGCGGCTTCCTAATGGCTCCTCCATTACCATTATCACTGGATTACCAGACTGCTTTTATCCACTGTGGTAATTAACTGCTGCCTCTGGTATTTCTCTGCCCTCAGTGAGCTCAGATGTGCAGCTTCTTGCCTGAACCACAAATTATGTTCAGAGAGATTGTTATGGGGAATTTCAGGTCATTTTCTAATAAGGAAAAGTRGTAGGAGCACACATTAGCAAGCAAATGTTGTAATGTTTTCTAGTTTCTTACAGAACGGTATATGAAAGAAAGGTTTCCACCTGTAGATCAGAACACGTTTGGTMCAAGTAACATGGATTTAAATGGTTAGAGCATTATTCTATAGAGGATTGTACAATTAATCTTGCAGGTTATGCGCCTCAATCCAACATATCCACAGCAGCAAAAACAGGAGCAAAACCTCCTGTTAACAAATATCAGTAAAAACACCTGTGCAGGAGCTGCCAAAATACCAGCTGGTAATTTCTGCTCCAAAACCTCTTGCTGGTCAAAGCTGGAAGTATCCCAAGCACATGCTGGTGTTCCCAGCCCCCAAAATCTGTGAGGTCAAGGTAGTGACAGGTTTCTATTTTGCTTCTTTTCCCCATTGACTCCTGACTTCAAACCAAAGAAAGGGTCATTGATTTCCCCACAAATCTCAGCCTTGTTTTAGCACAGCAATAACAATGTGTTTGCACTGCGGTCTGGGGCTCCTCTCACCRTAAGGATTTTTCTTTTTCCTTTTATCTAATATCTAATATCTTTYTATCTAATGGTGGTTGCTCTACAAACCACAGAACAGCCCCCATTAATACCAACCCTTGCCCCTGCACACCAAACCGTTTAGCAGTCCATGATCTTTGAGATTATTTTTGACTTTCCCATTTTACAGTGGGCTATAAAGTTAAGTGTTATTTAAATACAGCTGTAACTGGAAGATACCCATCACATGCTGGACCCYATGGTAAGATCTGAGCTGAGCATGGCACAGGTGTTGATTAAAGCCTTTATTTGCATGCAGGGTGATCTCATAAGCCATTTGCTGAGTTGACAGATGAAAACATTTCCTTGAAAGTCCACTACGGCCATRTTTACTGCCTTAAATGTCGCTAAACCATCGCACAATTCCTGCCTGATAAGAGTAATATAAAGGTAATAAATTCTTACAGATACCAAAAATTAATCCTATATTAATAACACAGAATTACGAGTTAGATCCATACATATCTGAAGATTCAGACTGCTGCCCTCAGAAATCTGCCTTCAATAAGAGTTATCCAGCAGTCTCTTAAAGATGGACAGATCCATAGAAAATGAACAGCTGAGGATCTAATCCTGATTAGCTGTGTGAACTTCATTCTGCAAAAGGCATTTCTACATGAAGGACACTGGGCCAAGAGRTACCAAGATCTTTGTGATGTATTTATGCAAAACCCACAGTCTCTGAGAGGAAAGAGAGGAAAGRAGGCAGCTCAGTGCAGAACCGCCTTTACCAGCATACAAATCCAGATCTCAGCTGTGATTCCTAAGAATGCCTTTTCTGCTTGTCAGTGCTGTGAGGGTTCTGTAACCCTAATCAAGCCATAAATGATTACAGTAAGAGCCATGCAGGGAATAATCAGAGACTGGACTTAYGCACATGTAATTACTGCTAAGCTTTGGAGCACTGGCAACATTTTTTGATCCCATAGTCAACCCAAATGTTCTTACTCTGACTCTTCCTCTTTCTGTTCCTTCAGATTCTCAAGCAGAGATTCCTCTAGGACTTCCAGCTCTGCCAAGGGGATTCTCAGCAGCCAGCTGATCCGGCAGATCAACACCCTGGCTCGAGCATCGTAGTACCCTTGAAGAGAGAAAAGCCCAGGAAATCAGTCAGTCTGATCACACAGATTAGTTAAGGAGCAGAGTACTCAAGGAACATGTCACAGAACAGCTCCTTCCCCCAGGCCTTCTTCCTCTTCCATGAACAGGAGAAAAGACTGATAAACAGAAAATCCTTCTACCCTGAGAACAGAGCCTCCACACCAGGTAATGCCTCTGTGGCAGGAAAAGGATCCCAAAGCTTTCGGTCTCCACCCTCTGTGGTAAAGGTCTGCAGGTAACTTTCCAACAGAGAAATCTGCAGTAGGATCACTGCTAACTAGAAATATCAAACATGTCTAAATGGGGAACTGGGCACAGCCCACCTCAACTGCAGCAGTGAAGGAGGAGGTGGCATTTTGTAAAAATGCACCTCCATGCAAAAGCTTTGTCTTCAACTCATCTTGGTGGCAACAAGAGGCATTGTGCAGCATAAAGCTACACACCAGCTCCCCCAGCAGCACCACAGACAAATGTTTGCTTTTGTACTCCCTGCTGGAGATGCAGGAGTGGACAGTGCACTCAGACAACACCAGACAGCAGAACTGATTACTCCTGGGCTTATAAGCAGGTGTTCTTACAGAAACAACATCTTAAATGTAAGAGACATTAAATTATTTGTGCTTTTTTAATGTGTTTCTCTCAGCAGCACCTACTGCTTCCTGATGTCTGACTTTTGTAAAGGGTTCTTGGTGCAGTCTGGGGTGAAAAACACAATCGCTTGTCTCAGGGTGGGAGAAGATAGCAGCGAGACACAACAACAAAGAATGTTTGCGATACCTACTGCACGTAGATCAAATATGGCATTGGGCAATCTATTAAGTTTGTTTATTTATTATCATCATTACCAAGATACCAAACTAATTCCATGGCCTTTAATGACACCATTCATCATGTTTGTGCTTAGTTGAGAAATGAGGACAGGATTTATCTTCACCCCTTCCCGAAATATGCCAAATCCTGCAAGTCCAGGCAGGTGTGTAAGGAGTCCCCTCCTTGTTTCCTGTCTGCTAACACTCTGCTGGGCTCCTTCCTCACCAGCCTGGTGGGAAGGCAGTGAGGCTTGGAAAGATATTTCTTTTAAATTTCAGCTATGCAAAATAAGCCATTTTGCAATAACCGACTTGTCAATTTTCCATTAAAAATAAAGCAAGAACAAAACTTGTTTTGTCCTGCAGTGCAACAGGCTAATCAGCAACCAGTGAGTTCTTTCCTGTGAGAACATGTTAAAACACAGAGACTTTAAAAATGCTTGTAGTGACAGAATCCAGGCTTCTTTTAGAAATGAACATTCTGTTCAGTAGACAGTCTTTATTTCATTAATTTTATCAGACCAATCCACATAATGGATTGYAAACCAGAGAATTGTTTTATGTGTAATATAATATATGAGAAAAATCACATTTATTTATAATGGGCTTCACAGGACACTCTGGAATTTATACCCGGAATAGTTTTGGTTTTTTTTAGGCAACCAGCAGAAAATTTGTTAGGCTGACGTTTTCATAACAGCTTTACCACCTTCCAAAAGGAAGAGGTCACCTGCTTCCCTGGAAACATTGAARAAAAACCACCCCACTCCACCATCATTTACATCTGCTTGCCAATGCAGGGTGTGTGAAGGTAAGGAGGTCAAGAGCTGTTCAATTTTAAGTGGATTTTATTAACCATTCCTAATATAACAGTTGTTTTTCCTGAAGGGGATGCACGGAAGGAGTGTGTTGCTTTTGCCAGAGAGGAAGCTGAAATTAAATAAGACAGCACCTTTTTGAGCACTTTAAAATATCAGATGTAAACTCATCTATATTATTTTTACAAAGAACAAATGCTAAGTATACTTACCATCTCGAAGAGAGAAGGATAGAAGGTCCTAAAGAGAGAAAAAAAAAAAAGAATATTCAATCTAAAACTTCCAAAACTGATGATGTGGGTCAAAATGGAGGGGCCAAAATGGAGGCACAAAAACCCATCAGACTGATTTAATTACTGCAGCAGCTCAGCTCATAAGTGTGAAGCAGAAAGCTACCATTCAGTGAGGCAGCACAGAGCAAAACCAGTCTAAAATTCTAGAAAGGCCAGTACAAAGGGCCGGAGAGAAGTAAATGATGCTTGGTATATGCTGAGGCATCCCATATTTTTGTTATTCATGATCCTGATCTTCCCTCAGATTTCAAAGTTTGGAGAAACAGGGCTCTAATCCTCCTGCTCCCTGCACAGTCATATATACTCACATCTGCAACATGAGTAACAGGTTTGAATGTTCYTCTAATGCACCAGTGGCCCCTATTTTCTTCGGCATTCTGGGAATTCACAGCTCTAGGCAGTAAGGCTGAACTGGCATGAAGTTCTTTTGGATTGAGTGAGTAAGAAAACTCAGAATTTATGGCCATTTGTCAAGATTGTGGGACTTGACTTCTGTGCTGGCTCTTTACCATGAAAAAAAAGGAAAAACGAATCAATTCAATAGATGGTTTCTATGGATAAATCCATGAAAAAGAGGCTAGTGTTTTTACAACTGTGTTCTCCTCTTTTATGGCCACTGGACAAATTCTAAGCTCTTTATGTGACTACATTAAGCACCAGTTCAGTTGAGCTGCTTTCCTCTCCTACACACAAATACAGCACAGCTGAATTTTACAGGGAATCCTCTCAGCCCTCTGGGAACACAAAAAATGCAGCCAAATATGTAGGAGGCTGCCAAAGAGTTTATGATTATTAGTCCTGTAAGCTCCGAAGCACAATTTGGATCGTAAAAACGTCTCTAATCTGAGAACACACCAGAAGCGCAGAATGAAGAACAAACCATCCTTAACCAAGCAGAAGAGGAACAAACTGCAGACTGTTCCCAGGCTGGCTGGTGGGATGTGGGAATTGGAGACACCAGTCCAGAGTGGGGGAATGTAACTAGTTTTCCAAAGCCTCAGGAGTGGGGATGCCCTGGGATCAGGTACACGGGCACCATCACCTCCTCTGGCTGCAGTTCTGGAGGAAGGTTGGCACAGAGGCATCAAAGCCCAGCAGAAGGTGCAGGGCTGGAAGCCTCGAGTAAAAGGGCCTCAAGTCTAGAATAAGGCAGCTTGTGACCTTGTTGCCACAATTTTCCAGGGACAGAAGTAAGCAGCCTCTAGAACAGGGTGATGGTTTGTGGACAATAAAGTCTCCTGAGTGAGGCACAGGGAGCTGGGGCTGTGACTCAGGTCCCGTCTCGTCTGCGCAGTATCGCCTGTGGCACCTCCTATCAAACCACCCCAAATCAATCTGGCCTAAGCGTGTGCACACGTGCATTTCAGAAGGTCAGGGATTACACAGCTAATCAGGTGATAAACTGGAACAACAGTTTTTATGGCATCCGTGCCAATTAGCACTCTCAAATTCTCCAGTTTAGGCTGTGCACGTACCGCACATGCAGGCAGCTGGAATCCAACCAGCATTGATTAGATTAGTTCAATCCTGGTTTGTTTTCCTCCGCTAAGCAGTTGTTATCTTGCAGCCTTATTCTGAAGCTGGTGTTTTAAATCTCCTTGAAAACTCTATGATGAGACCACCCATACGATTGAGAAGCCTTACAAAGGAAAGGAATCTTTATTCAGTCTTTGCCAGTTTTTTCTGAGTTGATTCAAGTTCATTTCCTCATCAGCAGAGGATTTCAGTGAATGTGTGTAGAAAACCACCAGAAAATGGGCATTCTAAGTAATGTTGAGAGCAAAAAAACATCTTCATAGTATGAATTTTCAATGTTTCATCACTTATCACCACTTCTACACCTCTTTTATTGCATTGCCTTCCCATACCACACCCACAGCCTGCTGTGACTCCTGTCTTTAAGGATTCAGTTACCACCATCTGCCTGTGTTAGTCATCTGCAATGAACACAAAGATAACAATCCATAATCTTCAGATGTTCATTGAATCAATGGTGAGCTCACATCTAATCTCCTGACTTCATGGATCATCCCTTCAGCTCTTTTGAGATGAAGGGCCTTCAAAAATGCAGCATTAGTGCCAGCAAGGCCCTGCCAATGAGCACATGGAGCAATTAAAGCAGATACTTAATAAACAGTAAATATTGCGTCAGCAGCAGCTGGATACAAAGGAACACAAGYACCATAAAGCAACGGATCAATAATTCATAAAGCTTTGTCCCTTAGCTTGTTTATTTTCAGTAAGAAGGAAAAAGCAGATCTCAGCTTATCACTGATGTTTCCCAAACACCAGTGGCTTTTTCGCAGACACACCTCTGCTGTTTTGCTATGCTAAAACCTTTCACTCTGTCTTACCTCAGACAAAATTAATCACCTTCTCCATGCAGATAACTGTGTAAGGGATTGATGGCATTATATTGKGGCATTATACTGATAGTTATTCTTCATCTTTGCTTTCAACTGATCCAAGTTGTCTATGGCTTCTCTATTCCACCTGAATCCAGGGGATATCCTCAGTTTCCTGGGTCAAAGCAAAATCYTGTGTGCTCCCGCTGAGCCAGAGCCACTTTTGTAAAAGCGCATGGAGCCCTTATGCAACGGAAGCTCAGAACAAGCACAAGCTAAATTTCACCYTTAATAAACTCAGCAGCAATGCAGGAAAAGCTGCTTCACTGTAGAGAATCCATCCTGAGGCAGAAAGAATGAAGGAACAACAAAGGAAGCACACCAAGGCAGAAAGAATSAGTGTGCATGTATTGAATTTGAGCAAACAGCTTCCAAAGAGCCACTTTTATTTTAGAAGATCTGCTCTAAATTATTAATTAAGCTTAAGATCTCTGTTGCTGTCCTTGTACTGTTGCAGGACTTTGGGCACTGGAACATTCAGATGTTAGGAGCAGATCCTCTGAGGCAGTTCATGGACTGACAGGAGAGAGGAAAGGTGGTTGAGGAAATGGGAGCTAGACATGGTGACCAAARGAGTTCACTGCTCTCTTATCTCCCCTTGCACAGCCGAGTTCTCACATCTGCTGTTCTGCTGGGCCCTCACTCAAGGTGAGCGTGTGATAACCATTAATCAATCAATAGCAGAGCACTGKCTGCATGCAGGGTATCTGGCACAGGGTGACACGCACAGGGTGACAGTGCCCACGTTCTGTATGGCACCAGCAGCAGCCTAATACTCTTTTCACCCTGCATGGCATAACATGAGGCTGCATGAGGAGAGATCTTCCCCAGCAAAAGCAAACGCTGCCAAAGTGCTTCACCTCTTTTATCTTTACATCAGCTTTCACAGCAGAATATAGTAGAGCAGTCCCAGTCTCACTTTCTAAGTGAGAGAAAATAAAGTCACAAAAAATTCCTTCTGATCAAAGCCTGCTCTGGGAAAAAGACTGGAAATTGTGCTCCTTGGAGCACATATGCGGAGGTGGTTTGTATTACATTTATGGTGAAGGGGCCTTTAAACAAGTGAAAATCAGGCCTCTCGTGTTCAGGGTGTCACTAAAATCTGTACAACATGTGTATGAATGAAAACCACTGCAGTAACACTGTCAAAGTAAAAACTTTGTCAGTTCTCTGTTCTGTAGAGTGAAACCATCAAAGATCCAGCTCAGCAGACAGCGACCATGCCTCACATTCATCACTTCCATGAGCTTTTTATGGACAGACTGCCAGACCCCCCACAGCTACTTATGAATAGATGGCTATCAGAAATACTGATTTTATTTCCTTGACTGCACAAACAGCACTTCAGCTGCAAACAGTCACATATGACAAACCTCTTTTTCAAAACAAGGGTAAGGGGAGCACATGGACCTACCTGGGTGATGAGAAGTGGATTGTCTTTCAAGATGGGATCCTTCAGCAAAATCTCAGTGAAAGTTTCTGTGCCCTCACCTCCTAAGCCACCAGCAAAGGCTGTCATGGCAGGTAAGACAGCATCAGGCAGGTCCAGCCACTTCACAAAGGCCTYCATGAATTCTGTCCTGAAAGAGCTGTAAGGCAACAGATGCAGTTAAGGCTTCACAAGTGRGTATTTCAAGGCTCCACAAATGGGTATTTCTGGAAGGTTTGTGTAGTCTCTGGTTTCAAACATTGTTTCACACAAAAATCAAAGCATCAGGAGTCAGCAGAAAGTGAATTGCTAAACAAACTGGCTAAATAAGGAAGGAAGCAATCTGAATGGGGCTAGACCTTGCTTMAGAACATGCTTTGATGTCTGCAGTGTTAACGGATGTGTTTTGTGCTGAACTGTAAAAGTCTTGCCAGTGCAAGAAAGAAAGGATCTTCCACTTCCCCAGCTTCAGAAGAGCCCACACAGAGTCTGATACCAGCTCTGACACCCAAAATCCACCTGCCCTGCCCAGCCCTCACTCCACCTGTACCTTTGCTCGTTTTCAGGGAAGAGCCAGGCGAGGGATATCCCACAAAGTGCTGCGTATGCAAATCTCGCCGGTTCAGCCAGCTGCCGGCCCAGCAGCACACACGGCTCMGTCTCCCCGCCACCTTCAGCCTTCTCGAGCTGTTTCGAAGCCYGGCCTTTCCAATTCTCTTCCGCAGCCATATTCACCTGCAAGTTCAAGGAGGAAAAAGCAGCAGAAAAAAAAACAACAGCAAACAATGAGAAACCAGGAAGTGAGGAGACAAATTGCCTTTGTTTTTACTGCCACACTTGCTGCTGGAATTGAATCAGGTCTGACCAGATCCAGCTTGTCCATTTACCCCAACACACTGCTGTGACCAAAGAAGACACAGGAACAGGACACAGATGAACAGTTCACTGATTCTCAAATGTTTTACACAAAATGAGTTGACAATAAATACTTCACCCTGCGAAGGGAGAAGTCCCCTTTGAGATGCCAAAGGACCTGGCTCCATTCAGGAGCCACATTTACTGAAAAAGTAACATGAAAATAAAAGCTCTGCACCCAGTGCAGCGACCAATACAGCTGCCTGGGAAATATTTTGCCTCTCTCATCCTCAGCCCAAATTGCTCCTGCTTGTTTTGTGGATGGCTTKAGGAAAGTGGGGTCCAGGTGCAGCCTCTGAGAAGGACTTTGATTGTCCCATGGTCATTGCTGTGCTTTGCTTGTAATATTTCTTCTTTATACAACCAGCCACTGCTTTCCCCCTGAAAAACAAGATCACTGCACCACATGGACCTTGAGCTGGSACAAAATATTACTTTTAGTGTAGATGTGCATACTTCCAAGTGAAGGGCTTCCAGCTGCTCCCCTGATGAGGCCAGCAGCAAACTGAGACCTCAGGAGGAGGTGACAACAGCTCACTTCAAACTCAGCCTGGGTAACAAACTGCTCCAAAGCTCGCTTCCATCACTTGGAATTTTTACTCATTTCCTGAAGATTCAATCAGTTTCTGAGGGGCCCAAAACACCCATTTCACTATATAGTTCAAATATAAATGTTTCCTTTCTTTCACAGCCTGGCTAAATAGGAATTAGGAGCCCAGGACAGTACAACTGACTTCCAGGAGATGCAAACAYCATTTATGGATAGATTTAGAGCCCTAAAAGAAAGAAATGCAACAGGAGCTGCTCTTTTAAAGAGATTTTATCTCTTAAATCTCTCTGCATGCCATTGTCATGGTCCTCCAGGAAACGTGTCTGTCCTTCTTTCCCACTCAGAAACCCTAAACATCCAAACTTTCAGACCAATTTTTCCAGGAATAATCTAACGATAAATTTTCAATGATTTTACAGTTATTGGTCATATCTGCTCACCTCTGGACACATTATGGGAAACAGCACTGAAAATAAAACCCTCTTCCCTGACAGACTTATTGATTTCTTAACTCAGGCTCATATGAAAAGTGAAACAGCTACAAATGACCCATGAGCAGCACAACTGTTTAACCTAATTTCCTAATGACATAAAATATGGAGCAATAATGGAGCAACACCATGGTGGCTCCTGGCATGCAACAAATAATTCAGAGTGCCAAGCATCTAAAATACCCAGAGAAAGTTTCTGCAAGACTTTGCTCTGAAAATGCTCAGATCAATGTACTCCCCACTACACAGTTATCTTTTTTCCTCATAAACGTGTAGGAAATGGGCTTGGGATTTTCAGACATGCAGCGTTAAAAAAGGGCAATGTGGGATTTACTAAAGAAAATTTTGGCCARGAAGTTCTGCCACAAATCCAAGATGAGGGAATTGAGTTAGAAACATATCCCAACATATTCCAAGTTATTAATGTCTCATGGCACTGGAATTCTCATCCCTGCCTCGAACAATGTGGTTCAGCAATCAACAGTGCTGCCATAATCTGAACAGCCACTTGAAAGCAAATTTTACTTTTATCACTTCCAGCTCTCATTTTTCACACAAACCCCTTTGTTTTCTTGAGAGATGGTGTATTTTATACAGCAGCTCATACAATCCTGTTTGGAAATCAGAAWGATAATTCCTTTGGGGATCTAAAGCTTTGTGATACATGTGTTGCCTGCAGCTCAAAGAAGAAAACCGAGACATGGTGGCATCACRTTTGTCCTAAACTATGACAAAGGTGACCAAGCCATCATCTTCACAACCCCTCAAAGTTAATGGGGTATCTCATTAACTTCAGAGAAGCAGTTTTAGATAATTATTCACATGGGGCTAGCCAAAAAGTCCCAGGTAAGGCACAGGGGGGACAACACAGCCTGACTGTGGTTTTGCATCGCACAAACATTGTGACTGCAGAAACACTTGAGCATAAGAAGCTTTTTGGGGAACTGCACGTGGCTCCAGAGGTGCTGGGAGCAACACAGCCTCTTGTTTTTAATCCATAGATAGGAGGTATGAACACGGAATGCTGTTAATTCAATCCTGTCTCAATGCAAGTACACATAAGTGAGATACGGATAGGCCACAGGGATCAGAGCCCGAAGGGACGGGGACACAGAGAAGCCCAAAGCTTAAGTAGTTGCAAAAGTGAGCGTGTTTCACTCAGTTAATCCTAAAGTTTGCACAGCGGGGGCTGAGAAGCGACGTCCTCACAGTGAAGTGGCCAAAGCTGCGGAGAGGGAGCACAGCACATTAAAAAGCGTGAGGGCACCAYCTCAGCTGGGAAAGCTGTGAGGGCGGACACCGCTACAGCTGCCTGTGTTCACTTTTACCACAAGTCTGAAGTCTCTGCTGATCCAGCACAGGCTTATTTACGGAAAGCGGCGCTTCGGGCCACGCTGAGGGGAGGGAAGCAGCGCTCAGAGCAAGGGAGCGGCCCGAGGGAGGGGAAGGTCCCGCCCGTTCGCCCCCACAGCCCGCGGTGCTGCTTTGCTAGCCCCTCTCCCAACCCCCGGCCCGGCCCCGACCTGCCGCCGGCCCGGCCGAGCACCGCGAACCGGGAACAGAGCACCGMGAACCGGGAACCGAGCACCGCGAACCGGGAACYGAGCACCGCGAACCGGGAACTGAGCACCGCCCGCCTCTTCCTGCCGGCCCGTCCTTCCCGCCGGCACTGCGCCACCGGCACGGCCGAGTGCCTGGGGAGGGTGGGAAACGCGCTGGGCTGAGGGGATGGAGGCGGCTGAGGGGATGTGAGGGGCTGAGGCGAAGGAGTGGACTCAGAGGATTGAGGGGGCTGAGGGTATGTGAGGGGGCTGAGGGTATGTGAGGGGGCTGAGGCGAAGGAGTGGACTGAGAGGATTGAGGGGCGGAGAGGCCTGAGGGGCGGAGAGGGCTGAGGGGACGGACAGGGCTGAAGGGACAGAGAGGGCTATGGGGACGGTGACACCTCAGGTGATGGCGCGGCCTGAGAGGTGGAGAGGGCTGAGGGGTGGAGAAGGCTGAGGGGCGGAGAGGCCTGAGGGGACAGAGGGGCTGAGGGGCGGAGAGGGCTATGGGGACGGTGAGACCTCAGGGGATGGCGAGACCTGAGGGGTGGAGAGGGCTGAGGGGACAGAGAGGCCTGAGGGGATAGCGAGGCCTGAGGTGATCCCAGAATATTCTGAATTGGAAGGGACCCACAAGGATCATCAGGTCCACCTCCTTAAGTGAATGGCTCATAAGGTGATCAAACTCAGGATCTTGGTATTATCAGCACCATGCTCCAACCAACCGAGCTGACCCCGGGGCCATGGAGAGGGCTAAGGGGATGGAGAGTGCTGAGAAGATGGGGAGATGAGGGGGTGGAGAGGGATGAGGTGATGCTGCCTGAGCCCATTTCTCATGATTTCCTCTCTCTCGAGCCACAGTGTATTAACAAATCACTATTGAAACCAGGAGCCAGCAAGGTAAGGTAAGCAGGAGACAAGACTTCAGAGCTGAAACTTCTTAACAARATGRTCAGCATGAATTAAACCTGAGTAYAAGCAAATCTTTTATGTTTTGGAATAGGAATATAATCCCATTAGCTTTTTCTCTATAAATTTAATTGTTGCTTCAAAGTTTTATGTTTTTATTGAGGCTTATCTTGTCAGATGGGAATCTGTTCAAAAGATTTCCAGAGCCTCATGACTRCCACCAGCATCTGTGAACTCTGAATCACATGGGTGTTAGTGGCTCTCAGAGGCTGAAAAACATTTCAGTGGAACTGCTGAAGGAAAACTTGGAGGTGCTGCTTCATAACTATATGGATCCATAGTAGTTTTTTCAGAGGACCAGTCTTTCCCTGGAAATCACATTTCTGTATGCAGCCCTTTCCTGTTGGACTTTTCCTTGGTTCTGTAGAAAGTAGTGTAATAAAACAACTCTTGGAAGGGCAAGGGTGAAACATAACAACAGATTTTTGTTTTCATTTCTTCGTGCCCATGTGCTGAAAACACATGTGGGCTGGCAGGATCCCTTGAGTGATCTGTTCAGGCCCACATTAGTACATTTGTTCCAAACCTTTACARTACCAGTCACCCACTGGTGTTGGTGAAGGGAACTCGACAAGAAAATTGTCTGTGAGCTGAAAGACTTGCCCATGGTTTCTGAAATTATTTTCAATACAGCTAAGTATCTGGTCCAGTCTTTATATTTGGGATAATACGGTATTTGGGTTTAAAACYGCCTGACTTTTCCCAGTGGGAAAGCTTTTTTTTCTGGTTGGTTATTAGCAAATGTTATATGTACCCTGCATACTGTTGGTGTCCAAAGAGATGAGAAAACCCAAAGGATTTATTTCCCCTGAAGCCTCCTGTTCCTGGCAGAAAACAGACCTGTGTTCTCCAAGACTTCAGGAGGACGAGAACTCCTACCCTCTTAGACTAATCTCTTTTATCTGCTGTGAGACACTCTGTATGTTTATATACTGAGCAACTGCAGGACATCAGTTTCCATTCTTATCAAACACAAATATTTACCTGATCCAAGGTCTCCTGAGATCCTTGACACTCTTAAAAATGCAGTTTAACTAAAGAAATCTATTTTTTCCCCCAATTTAATTTTGGTTGGATTTCAGGGTATTTTCTTAAGTATTTTTTGTAAATGAAGAAACACGCCAACACATTACTGCTTTGCTTTACTCACAAACTGAGCTGTGCAGACTCCCTAATACACTTTCTCAGCTACAATTCCGCCAATAAGGGAACTGGGAATTGTTTTGGCATTAATTGTCCGTGAGGAATTGAAACAAAGAAGTCAATGAGCAATTAATATTATTGAAATTTAATGGAGACATTCCATTAAAAAACATCACATGTGGCATGGCGCAGCAATAATAAATAGATGGATTTCTGTTYATCTCTGTGAGCATCTCAAGGGGCAATGTGAAGAGGCAAGAAGAGAGGTGGTGCAGATAGCCAGATAAAGGAATTCAGGTGAGAGGAACCATTCATGTGTTAAATAATGTGGGGAATTTGGAGGGTCATGAGTTTTTTGAGCCTTGCCCTTTGCAAGCCACAGACTCAAGATTAGGAGTGTTGATTTTGCCTCTTCCTCTTCAATTTTAACTTCAAATGGCATCAACTGACATCCYCTTYTYCCAATCYCTTTCCCATCCCTGCCAGGGATTAAGGTGATCATCTGCGTTAAAACTACTCTCTTCCAAGCACCCAGTCCCTGATTTAGCAGCCTTTTTTCCCACATTGTCCCAAGGAAAGGTGTCCATGTGTTCAGAGAGTGGGAAAGAGCAACCGCGGAGTGTTCCAGGACATGACCTCCCGTGTGTTCCAGATGACATCCTGCAGGGCTGATCAGGAGGGGACGCGGACACAAACAAAACAGCAAAAGCAAACCAACACAACGACTAGTGTGGGATAAAAATTTTGTGGAAAACACATAAATACCAACATATAAATAGTTCATTTTGTTTGAAGTAATGAGATTGAACAGCACTGTGCATTGGCATTGAGCCAGCTCGGCCAACTGATGAATTTATTCTGTGTTTTCAAATCCATAACTCACTGGTGTGCCCAGCCTGCACGTTGGCCTAGTCCGTTATCTCCGGGACACGCAGGTTAATTGTTTCAGGCAACAGTAACAATGTGGATCTCCTTGTCACAGGAGGTGGGAGAGTCCTTCTTGCACCTGCAGTGCAATTTAGGAGTGCAACACAGCACCATAGACATGACCAACCCCAAAGAAAGCAAAAGACAAATTACCCATTTCACCCTCCCTGAGTATATAAAAGGGAGGATGAGCATGGCGAGGATCACTGCGAGCAGCAGGAGCAGCACGAGTCTCTGCACAACCAGGCTGGTGTCTGCTGGGCTGTTTTCCTCTGTGTCTAAAATGTCCTGGCTGCTCTGAGTCCARCTACTGCTGTCCAACCCCATGGCACAGATGTACACTTCAGGGTTTGGATCAAGGTTTTCCACATGCTCCAGGATGTCTTCTTTATTCTGGAGTGTGCGGATGAGCCCTCCTGACACAAAGGTGGGTTTTCTGCAAAGGGGGCAGGTAATTACCCAGGTGTTCTCCTCTTTCCTGAGTATCAGCTTGAGGCACACGGCACAAAAGGTGTGCTGGCAGTCCAGGAGCTTTGGGACTCTGTAGATGCTGTACTTGTTGAAGCATATCATGCAGTCCGTATCCAGGGTGGCTTTCTCTGAGCAGTGGTGGTTCTGTTCCAACCTGCTCATTTCGGGAGAGTTTGTGTTCGGTAGCACAGCAAGAGGCTTTGAGTTTGGACAGTCTCTTTCCAAAATTGCTGGTTTAAAGGCAGCAGGACTTACTCTTTCTGTTCCTGAAGGTCYCTCCATTTCTTCAGTAGGCTCTTCAGTGAATCCCACTTTCTTCTCATGTTTTGTGTGAAGCGTTACGGATCCTGCTCCRCTCATTTCTACAGCACCTCCTGCAGCAGGCAAGGGACCATCCTCCTCAGCCTGCAGTACTCCAGGCAATCCGTTTTCCTTGTTTGGCTTGTCAGTGGATTTCTCCATGGAGATAAACCTCGGTGCAGCTTGTCTCCCCTTAGCTGAAGGATTTCCCGAGTCTSTGGCTCCTTTTATGTGTTGCTGTACTCCTGCTGTATGCCTGATTGATTAGTGAGAGCCTTAAGCGAGTCGTGCTCTTACAATATGATGTTTTTATGACATGGGGACCAGAGTTAATGATTGACTTCCCAGCCAAGACAGTTTACAACAACTGATAGTATCACTGAGCAATTCCTGTGCGGAAGTAGACTCCATGGCATTAGCAGACCGCTCTGACAGCCCAGACACTACCGTTATTATTAAATTAGRACTCCTTTTGTTGAAAGCAATTTCATTGGTYTCTAMACAGTGCTTTGCTGGACAGTGACAGGTTGGAGGGAATTTCCTATTACTAACATTGGTGTRCTGAATGCAGTGCTTTSMTTAGAGTGTAAGTATCACYAATTTTGAGCCTCTCTGGGCAGGGAGTTTGCTCTTGGTTTAGAAACCCTTACTACCCTACAGCACCAAGAAAAGAATGAGATCAAAATTATTAATTTGACTGTTAAGTTAACTCCTTTATCGTAGGAGTATTCCTGTTTGTTTTAGTCATCAGAGGACTTCCAGCACAAACTGAAGAATGAGTGAGGCCCATACAGGGTCTCACAGAGTCCATGAGAGAGATCTGGAAATTAAAAGCAGGACCAGTGTCCTAGAYGGTGGGACCACCTTCTTCCCTGGGACAATCTCATGTGTTCAGGAATACCCTTCCTGAGTGGTTCAGTGAATATCCATCTTGTCTGAAAAAAATGGCTGAACAGAATCCTTCAGTCTCTAATTTCTTTCTGCCTTTTTATTTAAGGAGTAAAATACAGATGGATTTCTCATGCATCCATGGAAGSAAGGAAGGAAGGAAAGGAAAGATCACTAMTACAAAAAGCCAGACAAGGTCAGTATTACCAGCAGAAGACACAGTACCACGCTGGTAGCCTCAAGTGCACCTGAATGTTCAAACTGTYTGTGCCACCATGTCCCAACCCCTCCCTCCTAGAGAGAAGCAGCAGAAAGAAATGAAAGAACTGCAGTTGAGGAGGGTGAGGAGTTCAGGAAGGCTCTAATCTCATGAACTTKCTGGAGGAGGGGATGAGGTGAGAAGAGCTTGTTCTTATTTGCTGAGATATAGGTTTGTCGTAAGCAAACTTCGTCAAAGTGCCTGAGCACTGATGTGTTTCTGCTGACAYAGCATGTAGTGGTGCTTGATGGACTTTTGGATGACCCCAAATTTTAGGAGCCCGAGTATCTCTCAGTTGCAAAAGTTGGTTTCAGTGCAAGAACGTCTGGCAATGGCCTGGTGAACTGCAAGACTCATTTATCTTTAAAAAGAGAGTTTTCTTTTGCATTTCACATAACACTTTGTCAGCAATTTCGTGCTGTTAAAAAGATCTGGGAAAGTGAAAAACAGACTTGCCACTATTACAATACATTAGAAGCTTCAGATTTGCTCTGTCAGTTCCCGTGTCCAAAATGGAAATTTCTTAAAATTTCCTGATTCTTAATATTAGAACAATGTGAAAACACCTTGCAGATTTTGGAAGCTGGAACAGATACCAAGAGGGACAGCTACACTCCTAACATAAAAAGTTTGAAACTAGTTGGGATGAATCTGTGCTCCATGTCTATCTGCTCTGTGTTCTGTCAGTGAGGTTATTTGTCTGTGTCTTTTGTCTTTTGTGCTGGAAAAACAGTTTTTTTATTGTCATCCACTGACAAAATTTTCAGCCAAGCCCTGATTCTGGCTCCACTTTGTCTCTGGTGTCACGAGTGATGCTCCCTGGCTGGCATGTGCCTTGTGCTTATCTGAATTGCCCACAGCCCATTAATGCTCCTCGGGCTAATTACTGTCCCATTAATCATCTGGGATCAGTTTATGTACTCATGCTGTTTTCCCCCTTTTAGCGTGTTTGCAATAGAAAATGTGTTTCTATGAAATGCTTTGTATGGAATTGTTCATAGCAGGAAATCGATAGAAAACAGCAGTTGTGTTGTTCCAAGTAAAACCCTCACGTGCCAGAGGCCAAACATCCCAGAAGATACTGGGGATACTCCTGTGAGCTTCTCCCTGTGCTGAGCTGTGGTTCAGATTGTCCTGACTCTGGACAAGAGGAACATAAAAATAATGTACCACTTAAAAATCATTGTGATGTGAAGCCTCTTTCTGTATTCCTGTGTTCCTATTTCCTATTTTGTTGGTGTTCCTCACAAAGCTGTTTGGATGTGCATTCTGAGCTAGGAATTAGAAACTCCCAGAATCCCACACTGGTTTGGGTTGGAGAGAATCTTAAAAGCTCATCCAATGCCATTGGTAGGGCCAATTTCCACTGTGCCAGGGTGCTCCAAACCCCATCCAGCCTGGCCTTGGGCACTGCCAGGGATCCAGGGGCAGGCACAGCTGCTCTGTGCATTCTGTGCCAGGGCCTCTCCACCCTCACAGGGAACAATTCCTTCCCAATATCCAATTTAACCCTGCCCTCTGTCATTGGGAAGCCATTCCCCCTTGTTCTGTCACTCCATCCCTTGTAAAGAGTCTCTATCCATCTTTACTGTCAGCTCCTGTAAGGGACTGGAAAGCTGCAATTAGGTCACACTTTTCTCCAAACTGAACAATCCCAATTCTCCCAGCTTTTCCCCAAGGGAGAGGTGCTCCATCCCTCTGATCACCTTGGCCTCCTCCAGACTCTGTCAATGTGCAGCAATTCTACAGCAATGGGGCACCTCTGTCAYGGCACCAGCAGAGAAGAGCAGCATCACGGGCAGGGCGATGCCTGGGTGGGTGCTGCTGCTGGGTGACTCCTTTAACCAAGGTCGAGTGCCAAGGAGCAGGAGGAGGGCAGGAAATTCTCCCCAAGAGCCCCGCTTCAGACAAATCATCCATCTTCTTGCTGTGCCACTTCCCCAGCATCCGGTGAGGAGTCTCCCTGAATGCTGGAGGAAGCAAGACTCGGAGGTTCAGTTTGTTACACTTAYCACATTTAATTAATCGTTGCTGTCTCAGCTCTGCTCCTGCCCTGTCGCTGCTCTCAGCCCTGTTCTCCTGGTGCCACCTCGCGGGTAGTCCATCCTCTCGCCTCCCTGATTTCCTGGGAGTTCATTTCSCAGCGGTGATTTGGGGTTGAACAGACACGGTTTAGAGTGGCGCGTCCTGATGTACAACGGGAACGGAAAGCGCCCAGCGCTCACCCGTGGGGTCAGGGCGGGACGTCACGGTGAGCGCCGGGAGCTGTGCTGGGCAGCACCGAAATGCCCCTGGACGGGGGAGTGCAATARGCAGCAGAGGCCAATTAGGCGGTGTCCGGCAGCTTTTGGTACATCAGTGACCGGTGGCGCTGCGGAAGGCAGCGGGGCATGCCGCTCCCGGCGCTTGGCTGCGCCGTCCTTCCCTTGGCCGTTCCCACTTTTCCATCCCCAGCCTCAGTGTCCCCCCCAGGGACACTGTACTCCCCTTCCTCCTCTTCCTCCTTCCCTATGCTCCCTTTCCTCCTCTTCCTCCTCTTCCTCCTCCTCGAGGCGTGCCCAGGCGGGCGGGTGCTCACGTGACCCGGGCCCGGTGCAGCTCTCACGTGACCCGGGCCCGGTGCAGCGCTCACGTGACCCGGGCCCGGTGCAGCGCTCACGTGACCCGGGCCCGGTGCAGCGCTCACGTGACCCGG